CGAAGTGATGAAGTGGGAGTGTATACGGACCGGAATGGTGAAATTATATAGCGTGCAACACAGTTACCCAATGCAGTCGATACTAGTCCACCAATTCCGCGACCTTGAGCTTGGATTACTAGCATATTTCCCTCATTTGCTACTGCACAAAAACTCACCTGCCCAGATTACCGTGGCACATCGACTAGATGACCCTCACCACGAATTTCCAATTACACCTTGTCCCGGCGTGGCAGTCTCCCACATATGGGGGTCACAAGAACCGACCGTGTTTCAACAGTTGACTCCGCCGCTCATAGACGAAGAAATTACCAGATTCTAAACGTACCGACCCACACCATATAGACCGCCCCGCACCCGTGGACAACACGGACGGCTGCATGTTGGGCAGGTAAGCGCAGATGGAAGCAAACACGAGCAGGCTACCGAAGAGAAGTAATGGCCAATAGATTCGAAGCCGGTAAACGGAGGGTACAACGGGCATCAGCTGCATGGCATCGTGAAAATGATGCAATTGGTGAGGCGCTAGGGAAGGTCCCCTGGAAAACACTGGCTGAAATAATGGGCACTTCTACCTGCCAGTACATACTCGTGTACCGCTTCAAGCTACACGCACTACCGCTCTGGATCAAGGAGTGTGGAGCAAAAGCGTGCCCGAATGCCGATTGCGCCACCCTTCCTAATATTGACCTCGCCCATGTGTTTTGGGACTGCCCGATGGCACAACAAACATGGACTTGGGTACGCAGTCTTTTCGCATTGCTACACGATCAGCATGTCGATTATGGACTAGAAGAGATCTTCTCGTTTCAGATGAAATATCCTCCTTCTAAATGCCTCCAAATCCGATCGGACTGGATGAACGACTATCCTGATTCCAACAACGAACTAACCACGGACACAATTTCGGCGATTTCAAACAAGTACTGGAGTTATGCGGTAGCCCTTGCGTTAACCACGATCTGGAGATCGCGGGTGGACCAAATATTCAATTCCAACCAGACTACACCCACTACAAAGGAACGCTAAGCACGACTTGAAACCAGAATCCAAGCTGGTTTCGACTTAATAGTGTCAACCTTCCCGCTCAGTCATCAAAAGCACGGAGAAAGGATGGTTGCAATGGAAACACGGAAACTATTGCGCGAACGGCCAACCTGCATACAACCAATATCACTGACACACAGTTTTCTGTTAACACTTACGTTGGCTTCTTCGACGGAGGTTCGCGTGGGAACCCAGGACCTGGTGCGAAAGCATCATACTGGAAGTAGGCTCATCACGAACTCCTCGCATAGTATGGACCAACACAGTCTCACTCGCTGGTGCGGGGTACACGAACAATATTGCGGAATTCAGGGACTTGTTTAGCCTTCTGCACTTTATCGTCCGGCGACGGTTAAAACCTG